AATACTTTTTGTGCGCAAAGAAAACAAAAATAACGACTTTATTCAACAATTCGTCTCCTCCGTGTCACCCTATAGCACCATTTTGGAGAGTATCACATATGTAAACAACATATGCAACGTATGTACACGGATACGTTGTTTACATTCAGATCAAAGCGAAAACAACGTAAACAGTGTATCCGCGTGCAGTGCTCATGACACAGAACAGCATACGTTGTTTACGTATGTGATACTTTCCAAAATGGCGCTACAGGGTGACGCGGAGGAGACGAATTGTTGAATAAAGTTGTTATTTTAGTTTTCTTTGCGCACAAAAAGTATTCTCGTAGCTTCGTAAAATTATGGTTAGACCACTGATGTCACATGGATTATTTTAATGATCTCCTTGCTACGTTTCTGAGCCTCGATCGTGTTAGGATCCTTGCTGTCTGTGGGAGGGTCAGAGAGCTCTCGGAATGCTTCAAAAATATCTTAATTTGTGTTCCGAAGATGAACGAAGGTCTTCCAGGTTTGGAACGACGACATGAGGGTGAGTAATTAATGACAGAATTTGCATTTTTGGGTGAACTATCCCTTTAATTTCTTTAAAAAATGCACTGACCCCAATCTTTTGAACAGTAGTGTACAGTGGGTACGGAAAGTATTCAGACCCCCTTAAATTTTTCACTCTGTTATATTGCAGCCATTTGCTAAAATCATTTGTTAATTTTTTTTCCTCATTAATGTACACACAGCACCCCATACTGACAGAAAAACACAGAATTGTTGACATTTTTGGTGTACATTAATGAGGAAAAAAAATTAACTTAAATGATTTTAGCAAATGGCTGCAATATAACAAAGAGTGAAAAAATTAAGGGAGTATGAATACTTTCCGTACCCACTGTATATTATCTATGTTTTATTCAAAATTATTAAGTTACATATGACTGGCATGTTCCAAGTTCATATCAGTTTGTGCATTTCTGTTTCTCAACAGACAGAGGTCGTCCGGAAACTGGCCACCTGCTTCATCTCTCTGCTGGTCTTTCTCTCCGTCTGCAAAGTCTGTCCTGTGGAGCGTAACGTTGATGATGATTTTATTGCCACCACGCCCTTCTATGCTCAGGTGGTCTACCTGTATTTGTCCATGCTGACCACCCGGCCTAAATACTACTTTGTTTGGACTTTGGGTGCGTGGACTTCCTGCCTCTCCTTGTCTTCCCATCTGGCTAGATTTCTCTTTCCTTTTCTTGTTTTGATCTTTATTGAAAGATATTGGTTTGTTTCATCTTCTCTTTGTTTATGTTCCGTTGATGGATATCATGTTTTGATACACAAATATGAAACACTACATCAATCATTTTCATAATTCACTGAATTCCTAATTTGGCAATTACATACTTGCTCCATTCAAACACTTTACACCTATAAAGGTAGAAACAAGCTGGGTGCTGTGTATTCTGGGTTTCATAACATTTATTATTTCTGATGTGAGTATCTTGACACTCATGCTGTCTTTCTAAATAGCTGATGCCATCAATAACGCAGCAGGATTTGGATTTAATGGCTACGACAGTAATGGTTTGCCTCGATGGGATCTCATTTCCAACCTCAGGATCATGAATATAGAGGTCAGTTCAGATGCTGTTACGTTGTTTACCCCCACTCTGAGTGAATCGGAAGTGTTATAATCAGTAAACTCTTATATTTTCAGCTTGCCACCAGCTTTAAGGTATTCCTGGATAACTGGAACATTCAAACAGCACATTGGCTTAAAAGGTAAGAACAGGAAGAGCACATTTTGCTATTGTACACTACCATTCAAATGTTTGCGGTCTGTAAGATTTTTAATGCTTTTATTTTCTTTTAAATTACGATTTTTAAATGCTGTGCTTGTTTAAAATAATGTGTGTCCTAGATTGAATAAGGAGTGTATCACTACAGGTCTCAGTGATCTCTGTGTGAGTTGGCTCCATCTACTGGTGATTTTTCACAATTATCCAGTTTATCAATAATTAAAGGGATAGTTCACCCAAAAATGAAAATTCTGTCATTAATTACTCACCCTTATGTCGAAGGTCTTACGGGTTTGGAACGACATGAGGGTGAGTATTGACAGAATTTTCATTTTTGGGTGAACTATCCCTTTAACATGTTGTCATCATAAGCAAACAGACTAACAACTTATACTAAGTGTAAGCATTAGATGAAAAGATGAAGAATCATTTCCTTTCTCATTTTATTTTTATGCTAGCATGATTGTTGTATATTGTCTATTGTGTGTTGTCTTGTAGGGTGTGTTATGAACGTTGTCCCTACAACCCCACTGCTGCAACCTTCCTGCTGTCAGCCATGTGGCACGGGGCTTACCCAGGCTATTACCTCACCTTCCTCACTGGCATCGTCATCACTCTTGCAGCCAGAGCTGTGAGTGACATCACATTCTACCAAACATAAAGTGCACTTCACATAGGGAATATTCCTGTCCCTTTCATGTAATCTTGCCATTTGCTTGGCCATAAAGAGCACAGGGATTATTATTATTATTTTTTTTTGGTAAATGACATCTGTCATAAAAAAAGGGCAAAAGAAGAAGGGTAGACAATACATGAAATACTACTTATGACATTATAAAGCAATTGTATGAAGCAATTAAATAACACCTAATTTTTACGAGATGTGGGTAAAAACTACACAGTAGCTGAGACTCTGAAATGTAACATAACACAACAGTTTAGATGGGGAAAAATGCATTTTAATTGACACATCTGGCTAATCAGCTGACAGCACTTTTGGAATAAGTTTATTATACATATTCACAAAGTAAGTACTTCATGTCAAGTATTTTTTAACATTTTAGTTCTACATGTCTAGTACTGGGTAAGGACTTGCATGCCCTAACATTTTGAACATGCATCGATTTACCATTTTTCTAAGCATAGGAAAAATGCAACATTGGGCATTAAGGGTCAAACTTGTTTCTGTTGTTCTCACACAGACGGAGCCTATTTATTGAATGGTACATCTGTTCTAATTTTTCTCAGGTGTTTGCTGAACTGTTTCATCATTATTTATATAGCAAAATATATTTTTAAAAGAATTGATATTAAAATGAATACATTAGATTTAAAATGTGCTTTGATATAAATATTTATTACAGTATTTAAATGGTCAGATTGTGGAATATTTACTTTTCAAGACTTTATCCGTAACGGTTGAAATATCTTTGTATTATTTTTTTTTCAAATATATTTGCATGCTAAATGATGTTATGAATACCAAAATTTAAAGGAAAAAAGTATCAAAAATTATTGGTTACAATTTGCAATATACATTACAAAACCTGATGAAAACTTTGCTAAATTTTATTTATTTATTTTTTTTTTTAAATCACTAATGTCTCCCTGAAAAGATAATACATCATGAATATCAATGCTTGGAATTCTGAGGGTTGTTAGTTGTTATTCATCCCTTTTTTAATGTCATGTTCCCTATTCTCCTTCAGGTGAGACACAATGTAAGACCGTACTTCTTGGGTTCTCCAGCTCTCAAGTTTGTGTATGATGTCATCACATGGGCGGCTACACAGATTGCCATTTGTTACACAGTGGTTCCCTTCGTTCTGCTTTCTGTGGGTCCCTCGCTCAAGTTCTACAGGTGGGCTGGACAAACAAAAATAGATACTAAAAATGCATAACTTGTTTTTTCTTCATTCATGAATTGATATTCTACTGTCTCCATCACTTTGTAGGTCAAGGTACTTCTGCATTCACATAGGCTGTATACTGCTGGCCATCGCGTTGCCTGTGAAACCACGCCATCTGCGGCTGAAAGAGCAACAGCCTGCTGTACAGCCAAGTCTGGAGAGCACAGACAGCAACAGCAACCAGAAACAAAAAGCCACATGAGTCCCGGAACACCTTACCAATCTTCTATACACACACAGACTGGGCAAATGTACCTATTCTCCAGCCACACATGAAGCGAGTCAGATAAACTAAAGCTCACAAATAAACCAACCAACCAGCCTCTGTCTGGACTGATAGAGTAAGTCATCCCTTGGCTCAGTATAGTGTACTGGGATTGGACAGTGATTTGAGATGATGGAATCAAATCTGACTGGTATAAGAGGAGTTTTATTGCCAAGAAAACACTGTTGTATAGAATTATGTGACCTTGCCTTTGTAATTCAACTTGTCACAGCAAGTATTAGTGTCCTAATCTGGTGGTCTTGCATTGGGCTTGTAAATAGGATTTTCTTGCAAGGGACAAGGCCAATACCACTTGCAGAAAGCTGGCAACATTATATTTGAAAGCAAAGATTTTTAATGTGGTAGGGGTAAAAATAAATATGACTAACTAAACTAAAATCTAATAAAGTAATAATTATAAATTTTAAAGTAATAAAATGAAAAATAATAAAGTTATTGGAAAAAAAGGAAAGAAGATCAAAAGATGATGTTCAAAAAATTTAAGACAAGTTGTTTTTTGAAGTCACCAAGACTGAATTAAGATTTAATTCCATGGCTGCGCCATTAAAAGCTGGGCTCTTGGCCCTTTGTCATATTATGTTTGTTATGGTCTGTTGTAGCGTCTCGTCCATGTAGTCTTCACATAAAATGCTGAAAGTTACACATAATACATTCCAATCTAAAGACCAGAGATTTTTTTCTCATAAACAAAAGTATTTCTTAGACTAATCCAATCTAAACTGGGAATTTTGGAAAGTAGTGGAATGTTAGAGTAACCTCCAGCAAAAAAATGGATAGTACTGTTAACTGCATGACTTTTGTCAGTCAGGCAGGTGGTGATTCTGTATGCACAGTAGGGCTGCACAATAAATCGCATGCGATATTTAATGCGCATCTTGTCAGTAAAGCCGGTTCTGTAATCAGCGGTAAATCTCCATCACGTGCGGGCTTTCACACGGAGCAGCATTAACTACACAGAGCCGTTGTTCACTGACAAGCTGCGCAAAACATGCGCATGCGATTTATCGTGCAGCCCTAATGCACAGTAATGCACATTTTGTATGGCCTCAGTCAGCTTCAAGGTTTGGCCTGCTTAGGGTTGGAAATGAAGCTGATGTTTGTGTTAAAGACATATGAAATTGTAGAGGATGTCCACTGGATTTGTTTGAAACATTACGTTCTCTGTGTGGATCTGGAACATTTGTTTTTTGCAAATTATGTGATTAAAAAAGGTCTTTTTACTACTCCTTTGTGGTCCGTTTGCCTTCTGATAAACCATTTTGTGAAGGTAATGTGCACGGTACAGTTACACATTCATTATTCAGTAGTGAAATGTTTGAAACACATTGGTAATTTAGCCTTCCTTATTCTCAAATGCCTCAACCTGGATGAACATCTGCCCTTTGCTCTGCAGACATAAACTGTGCACTTTGTGCCACTACAGATAATAAGTTACTTGATCTTGCTGACATTATATTATAGGGATGTTACTTCCACTACAGGCACATTTATGTCCAAACTGCCATTTTTTCCAACTTCTTGTCTTTCCTTCTTGCTTTCTTTCCTAAATTTAATTAAAAATTTAGTTTAAATTGATATTTATACATTTATTTTACCCTTATTCCAGAACCAGAACTGCATTATTTAGATAATTATTTTTTAGATTCTATTATAATACAGTTTCTTAAGATGTTTGTGTACGTTTTTACTTTGGAGACATGAGGGAAGTGCTTGATATGTAATGAGATGTTAAATATCACACTACAACTATTAATGTAGTCAAATAATGCAATAAAATCTATTTATTTATTTTTGGTCAAATGATGACAAAACAAGCAAATGTGTGTATTTATGGTACATATAGCAATACATCCATCACAGAATGATTTCAAACACAACACATAATTTGTGATCTTGTGGAAGTAACATGCGTTTGGTTCACTTTTGAAACTAGTGAAAGTGTGAAAAGTAGCCTGTTTATTTATTTATTTTATTTTATTTTCAAAAAGGCCACAGGGCGAAGTTTCCATACAATTCAGTATGCTAGTTGAAGAAACATTCATAGACTGTTCTGTTGCCCTAGGAAAGGCAACTACATGATTAAATACACAAGATTAAATATCTAAAATAAAAATGACTACAATTGCTGTGTAATATAGTATCACTTCCCATATATACTGTCAACTATCACATGTATTCACGTGCTGATCTGAGGAAGGCGTGACGTCACGCCGTGTGTTGTCAGGGGCTCGCCAGGAAGAAGCTCAAACACTAGGAGCACTGCGCTCTGCTTCGTCAAAATGGCTGTTGAAGATGGTGAATAGGAAGAAAGAAGCGCCGTAGACCGAGAAACTAGAGAGAAATACGCCCCTCTAAACGGACCTTCAGACAGCAGAGCATTACAACGTTTCTTTTCTGTGAGGTACGTCTCGTAACAGAAGGCAGATGTAGGGTTTAAATCGCCTTTGTCGGTTGATGCCGCGTATGATTGACAGTTCATAGCCTCCTAAAGGACAGTAACGAGCATCAAGCTGTAGAATTAAGCAGAATTGAACATTCATAGCGAATAAGATGTAGTTTGTTATGTAAATGTATTAAGATACGGTTAATCTGTTCAGGGTTGTTTTGATGGCGATTAATTGGATGGTCTCTCATAGTGAGTAAGTGCATCAACATGCAGACATGTTGACGAGGCACTGCCCGCCCTGTTTATTTCTAGAAGTACATTCTTTAATATCAAATTACAATAATGTTTAGACGGTGAAATATATCAGGATTAACAAGCACTTTATTACCGGGCAGATAATGTGCTGTGGTTTTGTTGTGCTCTTACTCACGCAGGTTCCATTTATTTGACATTATATAGTTATTTTTAGCCATATTTTCATCTATCTATCTATCTATCCATCTATCCATCTATCCATCTATCCATCTATCCATCTGTCTGTCTGTCTGTCTGTCATGGAGAGAAGCACATCATGCATGCAAAAACAAACAAACAGAAAACAGTACATATTACTATATTTATTGTTTTGTTATATTTTGTTATATTTTTATGTAAAAATATAGCAAAACATGATATATAATGCTTAGCCTAGTTATTTTTTTATTGTTTTATGTAATATAGTGTGCTTCTCACCAGTCTTTATAAATATCCATATAATATAGAGCACTTCTCACCATTATAATTGTAGGGCTGTCAGTCATCTCAGCATCTTGCTGTAGACTCTAGGCGTGAACCACTCTTGGTCGCCATAAATAATGCATGATGCCATTCCAGAGCAGACAGACAGACAGCAGTCACAGCCAGCAATCTAAAGGCATTCACACAAAAGCAGAGGACAGTGTGACACTGAGTGTGCTGGATATATATGGTGTCACATAGTGGTTTATAAGAATAACTTCGGTGTCGTGTTTCACAGATAGAGCTTAAAGAGCTGCTTGGATTCCTGAGTGAGCTGCCATATTCTCTTTGTTGTTGTCCAGTTGTTTGTTGAGTGCCTGTCTGTTTTTTTTTTTCTTTTTTAATGTATTGTCTGTATTGAACATTCTGTACAGACATTCTTTTAGTCTGTATTGAAGGTTAAATTGAGGGTCACTAGCCGGCGCATATTAAATAAGCTGTAAAATATTAATATTAAACATTTATTTGGATTGATTTGTGGTTGGATTTTTGCCACACAGGGTGGTATAGGGTGCGTGTCATAGTGTTTATATTTTATTTATCCTGTCATTCTATATATCTATTATTCTGTCTATTTATTTATTTACTGTTTCACCGGGAATAATTTTACATTTTTTAAATTAAGTGTTAAATGATAAATGACAGATATTCAAATGAAAATTGTTTTTCATTACTTTTGTATGTTGTAGCCTATGTTTTCTTTTAATACATTGATGTTTCCATGAAAATAGCTATAGATGCTGGTATGGCAATAGAAATAGACAAATAAATAAATGCATTGATGGGGGAAAATCGAAAGAGTGTTAGGTATGAATTTGTCTTTTTGATAGATATTTAAGCTGAATATTTGCACTAATTAACTGTAGGGAAACCTATTAGAGTGTGTCTGTGGAGGTGTTTGGAGAAAATGAACTGTTATCTCTGTGTTATGCTTATCTGTGCCAGCCTCCTTTCTCCTGACATTTAAAGTCCATTGCTATTCTTGGCCTGCACTGAAGCAAATGCTCTAATATCACCTGTCACTCAGTCAGGCTAACTCAGCAATTTAACATCTCTAATCTCAAAGAATTTCACATTTTTATCCTCCAACAACCTACTGCAGTATTCAGATTAGCTTAGACCATCTCTGTTCATAATCTGTGTTTTGAAAATGACTACATATATCTCTGTTCAGGGTGTCCCAGCGAGTGGCAATCATGGACACCACAACCTCCATCAAGATGACCACTCTGGCCATCCAGAACCTCTTCAGCTATGTGGAAGAAGAGAATCTGGCTGCTGTCAAAGCCCATCTTGACAAGTTCAAAGAGGTGGATGGTCGAAGCGATGTAAGTTGCATCTAAAAAAAGTCAAACGCAATTTAAGATGATCAGTTAAAATTGAGAAATATCAAAGCTCTCTCTTTCTCATTGTGTGTTTGACAGAATGGACAGACTCCTCTCATGTTGGCCTCAGAGCAGGGCAGTCTTGAGATTGTTCAAGAGCTCATCAGAAGAGGAGCAAATGTCAGCTTGGATGATGTGGTGAGAAAATACCCATTTTAGATTTACAAAAAGAGTTGGCATGTAGTCACTCTTGTTTCTGTTTAATCACTGCAGATATTCACATAACATTTACCAACCAAAAGTGGAGCAGACATTCTCAATGATGCTTGATATCATTTTTGGATGGCTATCATCAGCAGCTTATTACAATGTTGTTATAAGAAAATACGGACACACATACATAAAGCATTTCTTTTTTAAATTATAAATTATTATTCAAAATTAGATTTTTTAATAATTAAAAATCTGAATTTGAATCCCAGTAAAACCTCTTCTGTATTCCTGGTCAATATTTTTGCCATATATTTAAAACCTGTATAAGGTGTGTTGTCCATTATAATTGTGCTGTAGGGCTTTTCTATCTAGTACAGCTCCTGCACACTCCATCACTGTTCCCATGGTGGCATTAGCCAATGGTTCAATGGTTTCCATAGCGACCCATCTTTGTGCTTTTCCCTGATAGGACTGCTGGTCCGCTCTGATCTCTGCAGCTAAGGAGGGGCATGTGGAGGTGGTGAAAGAGCTGCTGGAAAACAGTGCTTACATTGAGCACAGAGACATGGTGAGAAAATCTAATAGCAAAAGTTTGCATCAAAAGCAATATGTGTGTTTTATTTTGTACAATAATCACATTTGGAAAATAAACACATTCTTATGTAATGATCAAAACTTAGTGAGGTGGCTTTGTGTCATGCAGGGGGGTTGGACTGCCCTTACTTGGGCTTCATATAAAGGTAGAGTTGAGGTGTCCACGGTCCTGCTTGAGGTTGGGGCAAACCCAAACACCACTGGACAGGTAAAACTTGCATATGGTATAAGCACATACAAATCATATTAAATCAATATTGAATCTAAATAATGCCAGTTTAATAAATGCAATCATTGACTAAAATTTGTCATGCATTTCACAGCAATACAGCGTCTACCCCATTATCTGGGCAGCCGGTAGAGGCCATGCAGAGATTGTGAAACTCTTGCTGGAGCATGGAGCTAAAGTCAACTGCTCTGATAAGGTGAGCTAAAACAATCCTTCCTCACTGTGATTAAATAATTATTAATAATAAATTAATAATAATGTTCTTACAATGGAAAGGGTCAATCGTTTAATGAGCGATCGTTGCATTTCTATTGTGAGCGATTTATTTATATTTTTTTTTAGTTCTGTTTCTACAAACCAAAGTCAACAATAATTTTCTCTGGTAATCAACAGCATGCCACAGTTGCTGTTGATTGATTTTAATTTGTAATGAGCAGGAAATATTCCTTTAATGATTTTACTGTGAGATATATTAAAGGTAAAGACTTGTTTAACTTTAAAATGTGTCATTTTATACTTTTAGTACGGCACCACACCACTGATCTGGGCTGCTAGAAAGGGTCACTACGACTGTGTGATGCACCTGTTGGAGAACGGAGCCGATGTTGACCAGGAGGGGGCGGTATGTACTCATTGTATAGCATAGTGGTTCTCAACCTTTTTGACTTTAAGGCACCCCAATTTCTTCAACAATTTTCAAAGTCCCAGATTGTTATTTACTGGATAAGGATTTATCAGTATATTTTACCCATGATTCCTACCCGATAAAATATTCTAGAGCTTGGCATAACTAAAAAACTAAGATTTGATTAATTTATGTGACTTTTACCGATCTAGAAATCACACTTTTTAAATGTTATATAATCATCATCCTCAAGAAGTATTTCGGTACTCATACACAAATTTCCATAATAAATACACATAACTTTACATATTAACTGAAAAAGGTGTAAGCTGAAACTTATGTTACCTACCATTTTTTGTTCATTATAATTATTATAAGCCTTATATGTACATTAACATTTAGCAGATGCTTTTATCCAAAGTATGTAAGACATATTTAGATTTTTAACTGTTTTAACATTGATTTTAAATTGCTTTAAGTCATCTTGTTGTCCCCTTGAAAGTTGGCTGAGGCCTCCTAGTGGGCCCTGTTTGAGAACCACTGATTTAGTAGCATTACATTGGAATCCCAAGGGCCTGTCGGTCTTATTTTGTTAATCTCAACCACTCAGAACTCCATGACGGCACTGATCGTGGCTGTGAAGGGGGGATATACAGAGGTGGTTAAAGAGCTTCTGAAGAGGAACCCAAATGTAAACATGACTGATAAGGACGGAAACAAACCTACTGCAGTATTCAGATTAGCTTAGACCATCTCTGTTCATAATCTGTGTTTTGAAAATGACTACATATATCTCTGTTCAGGGTGTCCCAGCGAGTGGCAATCATGGACACCACAACCTCCATCAAGATGACCACTCTGGCCATCCAGAACCTCTTCAGCTATGTGGAAGAAGAGAATCTGGCTGCTGTCAAAGCCCATCTTGACAAGTTCAAAGAGGTGGATGGTCGAAGCGATGTAAGTTGCATCTAAAAAAAGTCAAACGCAATTTAAGATGATCAGTTAAAATTGAGAAATATCAAAGCTCTCTCTTTCTCATTGTGTGTTTGACAGAATGGACAGACTCCTCTCATGTTGGCCTCAGAGCAGGGCAGTCTTGAGATTGTTCAAGAGCTCATCAGAAGAGGAGCAAATGTCAGCTTGGATGATGTGGTGAGAAAATACCCATTTTAGATTTACAAAAAGAGTTGGCATGTAGTCACTCTTGTTTCTGTTTAATCACTGCAGATATTCACATAACATTTACCAACCAAAAGTGGAGCAGACATTCTCAATGATGCTTGATATCATTTTTGGATGGCTATCATCAGCAGCTTATTACAATGTTGTTATAAGAAAATACGGACACACATACATAAAGCATTTCTTTTTTAAATTATAAATTATTATTCAAAATTAGATTTTTTAATAATTAAAAATCTGAATTTGAATCCCAGTAAAACCTCTTCTGTATTCCTGGTCAATATTTTTGCCATATATTTAAAACCTGTATAAGGTGTGTTGTCCATTATAATTGTGCTGTAGGGCTTTTCTATCTAGTACAGCTCCTGCACACTCCATCACTGTTCCCATGGTGGCATTAGCCAATGGTTCAATGGTTTCCATAGCGACCCATCTTTGTGCTTTTCCCTGATAGGACTGCTGGTCCGCTCTGATCTCTGCAGCTAAGGAGGGGCATGTGGAGGTGGTGAAAGAGCTGCTGGAAAACAGTGCTTACATTGAGCACAGAGACATGGTGAGAAAATCTAATAGCAAAAGTTTGCATCAAAAGCAATATGTGTGTTTTATTTTGTACAATAATCACATTTGGAAAATAAACACATTCTTATGTAATGATCAAAACTTAGTGAGGTGGCTTTGTGTCATGCAGGGGGGTTGGACTGCCCTTACTTGGGCTTCATATAAAGGTAGAGTTGAGGTGTCCACGGTCCTGCTTGAGGTTGGGGCAAACCCAAACACCACTGGACAGGTAAAACTTGCATATGGTATAAGCACATACAAATCATATTAAATCAATATTGAATCTAAATAATGCCAGTTTAATAAATGCAATCATTGACTAAAATTTGTCATGCATTTCACAGCAATACAGCGTCTACCCCATTATCTGGGCAGCCGGTAGAGGCCATGCAGAGATTGTGAAACTCTTGCTGGAGCATGGAGCTAAAGTCAACTGCTCTGATAAGGTGAGCTAAAACAATCCTTCCTCACTGTGATTAAATAATTATTAATAATAAATTAATAATAATGTTCTTACAATGGAAAGGGTCAATCGTTTAATGAGCGATCGTTGCATTTCTATTGTGAGCGATTTATTTATATTTTTTTTTAGTTCTGTTTCTACAAACCAAAGTCAACAATAATTTTCTCTGGTAATCAACAGCATGCCACAGTTGCTGTTGATTGATTTTAATTTGTAATGAGCAGGAAATATTCCTTTAATGATTTTACTGTGAGATATATTAAAGGTAAAGACTTGTTTAACTTTAAAATGTGTCATTTTATACTTTTAGTACGGCACCACACCACTGATCTGGGCTGCTAGAAAGGGTCACTACGACTGTGTGATGCACCTGTTGGAGAACGGAGCCGATGTTGACCAGGAGGGGGCGGTATGTACTCATTGTATAGCATAAACCTTTTTGACCTTTTTGACTTTAAGGCACCCCAATTTCTTCAACAATTTTCAAAGTCCCAGATTGTTATTAGGATTTATCGGATTTATCAGTATATTTTACCCATGATTCCTACCCGATAAAATATTCTAGAGCTTGGCATAACTAAAAAACTAAGATTTGATTAATTTATGTGACTTTTACCGATCTAGAAATCACACTTTTTAAATGTTATATAATCATCATCCTCAAGAAGTATTTCGGTACTCATACACAAATTTCCATAATAAATACACATAACTTTACATATTAACTGAAAAAGGTGTAAGCTGAAACTTATGTTACCTACCATTTTTTGTTCATTATAATTATTATAAGCCTTATATGTACATTAACATTTAGCAGATGCTTTTATCCAAAGTATGTATTTAGATTTTAGATTTTTAACTGTTTTAACATTGATTTTAAATTGCTTTAAGTCATCTTGTTGTCCCCTTGGCTGAGGCCTGAGGCCTCCTAGTGGGCCCTGTTTGAGAACCACTGATTTAGTAGCATTACATTGGAATCCCAAGGGCCTGTCGGTCTTATTTTGTTAATCTCAACCACTCAGAACTCCATGACGGCACTGATCGTGGCTGTGAAGGGGGGATATACAGAGGTGGTTAAAGAGCTTCTGAAGAGGAACCCAAATGTAAACATGACTGATAAGGACGGAAACACAGCTCTGATGATCGCAGCTAAAGAGGGCTACACTGAGATTGTGCAGGACCTGCTTGATGCCGGAACATATGTCAACATCCCAGACAGGGTGGGTTGAACCTCACAACAAACCTGTAAACAAACAGAAATGATAAAACTGATATACTGGATAAAAATTACCTGTGATATTATGTATTCTCATTGTATGTTGTGTTTTAAACCTGTAGAGTGGAGACACTGTGCTGATTGGAGCTGTGAGAGGTGGGCATGTTGAGATTGTGAGGGCGCTACTGCATAAGTATGCAGACATCGACATTAGAGGCCAGGTAACATGCCTGTTATATCATATATGTGAAGATACTTTAAACTAGGGTTTCATAATGATGGTTAAACTGATAATCACATCTTATTTATAAAATATAGTTATTACTCTAGGGATCAACGCTAAGGATTTTTTCTACTGGCCCAGTCGGGCCAGTGGTTCAAATTTTTACTTGCCCTGCCAACATTTTCACTGGCCCTGCCACAAAAAATAAAATAGTTGCTGTTATCAT